CCCTTCAGGCAGATGGGACATCACTTGCTGTCTTTTGCTGGCTGTAAAGCTGGAGCCACCTGCCTGCAGACTCAGCAAAACACAGCCACTTTGCCCCACCAACGTGACTGATTTTCCCCACAACCTTAAGGGCTTTCGGTTTTTTTAGTCATTATTTTTAATTAAGACAAATGCTGTGGGAGTTCTGGCTGACGTTCCCATGTCAGCCTCTCCCAGCATTAGTGCACAATTCCCTCTGGCTGAGCAATAAAAACCATCTGAGGGACAAAGAGACTTTGCCCCAGGACCACTTTGTTTTCTCTTGCAGTTGGCCAAAGTGAACTTAATTTGCACTGTACTCCAAGATGCCTGAAACACTTCACACATTCAACCTGCACAAATGCTGTAAGGCAGCCAGACACAGACTGAAGAGCTAAAACCTACAGAGAGTAGAAAAAGTCAGTCAAGGTCATGGCACACACAGCAAAAAAAACCCATCCTCACAGAGCAGCCTCACCCCCGGTTTTGTAGCCTGAGCCTGGCACATCAGCCCTGCCTGCTGCATTGATTTACTTCTCAGGGTGCATTTTCTCTCACTATCTCCTTACTGTGAGGGGAAAATAAAAGGTTTATTGAAGGACATGCTAAAAGTCTGGCTAGAGGGAGCAGAGAGAAGTATGGAGACTTAGTCTGGTTTGTTGACCACAATCCTGCTTTTACTTGACACTTCTACAATGACAGTTTGAAAAATCTCACTTATTTTCCAGAAGATACAAAGAACACATCTTCTACATGAACAGCATGAATTAGAAGGGAAGATGCTTTAGACAAAGACTTACTAGTCCATCAGGGAAAGAAATACAGACCTTTTCCCTATGGGAATACAGCTCTCCTCCTGACTGATGGGTCTGGGCCCACTGCAGCCACCTGCACCATGTGGGAAAAGAGAAGGCTGAAGTGTTTAAGAGAACTCCAGCTCCATTTGATGCCCACAGTCCAGGCAAGGGAGACTTTAATCCAGGGTAATCACCATGAACTTGAAACTCATGGCAGAGCAGGGATTAAACAAAGGAGAGAGGAAACAGGGAGCCCTTTCGACAGCCTGGAGATGACACTACATGGAAGCACCAAGGATGAACTTAGATGCTTCACCCTTCTGCAACCTCCTCTGAGCTCCCACAGACCTGCAGAACATTGGCTTTGTAGCTGCTGCTGGGAGACCTGATCCCAAAACACAGGCTGAAAGCCAACAGAAGGACCAGAGACAAAGCCACAACAACACACACTTCAATTGTTTAGCTCTGGAAGTGGAGAAAGGCAGCTCACACCTCAGCCCAGGATCAGCTCTGCCAGGGAGGCAGATTTCTGTTCAACAGTTGCACTTCCCCTTTCAAGCACTTTCCCCTTTCATGCCATGCTAAATAAAGAGACAGATCAATAGCAGCCAGCCCAAAAGAGTAAAGATTAATTACATATTTGGGAGGGATTCATCTGTGGAGCCCCAGGGATGGACTCAGCTCAGTCACGATCAAAGACCTGCTGAGCTCTATTAGCTTCAGCTTCTTTTTGTTGGGAACAATCCCATCTTTGTTCCCTGCTTACTCCTAAAACACATGCTAGGATACCCACCTGACAGCCTGGCTACACAAAGTTCCCTCTCAGAAAATCATCCTGGTGGACTGAAACGTTTCTCAAGCTTTGCTTCACATCCTACACAGATCAACTTCTGTCAGTCAGTAAGAAAAGCCCAGACTGGAAGCCCTGCAGATGAGTCTTCTGCAGAACAACCACCTTCAAGATTGGCCCAGGGTCAAAGAATCATGAAGTACCTACTTCTCCTCTAGCTAGGAAGTGCTTTCTGCAAGCAGAGCTTCCCTTCAGTGCTGTTCTGCTTCATGTCCTTTTCTATTAAAACATTGCCTGCAGTTTGCTGGGCAACTCTGTGTGTCAGCTTTTGACACCTGATTGCTGCATGGTTTGGGTTTTTGTTTAGAGTAGTACTTTAACTATAATCATTCCTATTTTAACACATTATTCGTTTTATCTGGAGACCATCAACAGAAGCAAAGTGGGTTTGTTGGTCTGAGTCTGTTGCCCTAAATGGATCTCTGTGATTTATGGAAAACAAGGCACCAAATATGAAAAGATTTGGTGTGGGAGTTATAAACAAACCCATACTTCTCCCCTCCTCCCTGTTAATTTAATCAACTCCATTTCTTTTATTCTAGTTGGATTTCTTACTTCAAAATTCCCTGAAAAGGTTTTGTTTCACTCACTCATTTGTGATGTTCAGTTCTTTGAAACATTTATGCCCTTCAGTTTTTAGAGGATTGTAGGTTAAAATAATTGTCACATTGAACATGGTGAGTTTTTGGAGGAAAAAAAAAAAAGCCATGATTTTAGTTGGGGTGAACACAAATCAAGTGTTTAAGTTTTGGTGGTGTGCTTCTCACCTGCAGCACAGCATGAGACCTTGTACCTTTAACTGCCAGTGTCCCACCTGCAGCTGCCACTGTCCCACCTGCAGTTTATGGCACAATTTCATTTTTGGGGACATGGTTTAGTGGTTGACCTGTTGGGTTAATGGTTGGACTTCATGATCTTAAAGTTCTTTTCCAACCAAAATGATTCTATGATTCAGGGTACAGAGAAAACTCTGGAGGGAAAATTCAGAAGCAGAAAGATAATTCCTGCCATGGATATATATTTTTAAAAAATTAAGGTTTTGGGGCTAACTGGCACTCTCATTTAGGTTCAGCAGCTGCTGCTCTCTGAGCCAGGCTGCCTCCAGCTCAGCACTCTCCTTTCAGTGGGCTAAACAAAGCAATCAGGATACTTTTCCAAGTGATAGTCCATCATTACCCCACTCCCACTGCCTCGCTCCCTGTCCCTCAGCCCTGGACTGACTGCCAGGAACAGCAGGCAAGTCACAACTGTTTACAAGAGCTTTTGCTCAGCAGTCATTAGCATTTCCTAAGCAAAAGTAAACTTCCTCACTGGACACAAAGGCACTCACCCTCTGTGGGGGGAAAAAAAGAGCTGGAAAGATGCAGCACTGGGACTCTTCTATCATTCCCAGGATGGTGAACGTGCCCTGCTCAGCACAGGGAGCTGGAGCTCTCACTCCCCTGCCCTGACACAACAGCTTTATCTTCCAAACAAATCCAGAATTCCATAGCCTAATCACTCAACAGTAGCTAATGAGGCTAGTGAGCCCCTGCAGCTCCAGAGAGGGATCACCTTACCACCCTCCCTGGCTGGCCAGGAACACACTAAGGCTGCTCCCTCCAGCACACTGCCCAGCCCCAGGGTCTCCAGAATCAAGGACCACGGAGTCAAGCAACACACCATTTCATTTTCATCCCCTCAACCAACTTCCTCCCAGTTTTCCTCCCAGGAGCCACACTGCTAGGATTCTCTGTTAGCCTGACTTCTCCAACTGGCAGCTACCAAGAGGTTGGCTTTTGTTTCAGACTAGACAGACATGAGGGTCTGTCTCCTCCTCAGCAAGTCAGCTGGAAGATGAACTGACAAGCAGCAAATTGAAAGAAAAACAAACAATAAATCACAGAGCAAAATGAAGAAGTGCTTATTCAGACAGCACACAGGCAGGCAGTGTAGCTTCTTGCCACACTGTAGAGACACTGAAAGCTTGCACAGATTTAAAAAGTGATAGGTTAAATTAAGTAAGGCATCAAAAGCTATTGATGCTGAACTATCCCTTCAGGAAGTCTTCAAATTGTGAAAGACAAAGCACACAGGGGAAAGTCTCACTGCATGTTTACTCTGTTCTTTACTTTTCCTGAAGTATTCTTGGAAATACACTACTGAGCTGGACAAGCCCTGATGTGACCTGAGATGTTTTTATCTCCTTCAAGAGCAGAGCAGGTCAGGGAGATGGATGACACAAAAGGACAATTATTCTATTGCTGTCAAGCAGAACCACTAAAAAAAATATGACTTTTAATACTGAAAAGCAGCAAATAATTGCAAACAAATCAGCTTCCTCCTGTGAAATGTCTGACACCCTAGATGGAGTTCCTGGACAGAGAAAACATAACAGATCAAGGACCTGATCTCACTTCTGCTCAGGGGCCAGACCACCTGCTTAGTGTCTCTCTACAAAAAAAGCTGAAGTTTGATTTGATTCTAATGTGGAAAATAAATGCTTCTGGAATGCTTCAGTTCCTACATTTTGCAAGAAAGCATGCAAATCAAGCCACAGCTAGGCTGAAGCTACAGGGGATTTGCACCTAAGTGTAGCATAAAGGCCCTAGGTGACACCTAGTCCATGTTTGGAGGGTGGTGAGAGCCTGGCCCAGGTTGCCCAGGGAAGCTGTGGCTGCCCCATCCCTGGCAGTGTTGAAGGGCAGGTTGGATGGGGCTTGGAGCAGCCTGAGCTGGTGGGAGGTGTCCCTGCCCATGCAGGGGGTTGGAACTGGATGATCTTCAAGGTCCCTTGCAACCTAAACCAGTCTGGGATTCTATGGATTACAGATGGGAAGAACCAGAACTGCTCCCTTTCACACCAAAATTTAAAGTTCCACAAAACCATGCAGAAACATGCAAGTGCTACCCAAGAAGCACCAGAAGCACAGGAAATCTCCTGCCTTTTCCCAAGAAAGCACAAATCATTCCATACTACCACATCCTGGAATCCTGAGACCATCCCTCCCTCTCAAGAACCAGCAATCAAGTCCATACAGGTTTGCCACGGTACTAAAATCAAAGCAAGGATTCAGCCAGCTCCTATTCAGTCTCCATTCTTGTTCTCCAACTAACAGCATGGTCCCAACTGCAAAAACACTTACCTTCTTGCCCTAGCTTAGTATCTTTTTACCTTGGAAATACTGGAAATAAAAGCTGTAGGTAGATACAAGACATGGATCCAAAGTTAGGCAAAAGGAATGCCCTTCCTTCTACCACGGGAAGCTGACAAGACACCCCTGGGGGAAACAATCCACCACAAGCGCCCCAGAAGAGCAGAGTTTGCACCCTCAGCAGTGAGGGAGGTGGCATACCCGTGCAGAATTCTTTGTTAGGATTCTGGGGCACAACAATCCTTCTGTAGACGATGGGCTCCGACTCCAGGATGTTCTCGTCGTGCCGGTATCGGGCTGGTTTCTCGTTTGGGGTTCCCCGGGAACGGGTGCCACTCTTCCTCTCATAAGTTTCAATCTCCTCAAACACAGCTGCTTTGTCAAAAAGAGCCAGGTTCCCTTCGAAGTCAAAATCTGTGTCTGGGATTTCATCAATGTCATCCCCGAAGCACTCGTCGTCTTTGCTCTTCATCTGCCCGTTCTTCAGGCCGCTCTTCTTCGGGGTGACCTGGTTGGGGTGACGGCTACTGGATGACCCTGAACCAAAACAACAACAGCAAGATGAAAATGTGTCATCAATGGAACAAAAAAAAGCCACGTTTCTTCATGGACTTTCTCAGCAAATTTTGTAGGAGGTGGGGGCTCAGGCCTGCAGTCCAGACTCAACAGATAGGATGGTGATCAAAGGTTGGAGCAGCTCTGCTCTGGAGACAGGCTGGGAGAGTTGGGGTGTTCAGCCTGGAGAAGAGAAGGCTCCAGGGAGACCTTAGAGCACCTTCCAGTGCCTGAAGGGGCTCCAGGAAAGCTGGGGAGGGGCTTGGGACAAGGGCAGGGAGGGAGAGGACAAGGGGGAAGGGATGATAACTGGAAGAGGGAGATTGAAGTAAGACATGAGGAGGGAATTCTGGGCTGTGAGGGTGGTGAGAGCCTGGCCCAGGTTGCCCAGGGAAGCTGTGGCTGCCCCATCCCTGGCAGTGTTGAAGGGCAGGTTGGATGGGGCTTGGAGCAACCTGGGCTGGTGGGAGGTGTCCCTGCCCATGCAGGGAAGTTAGATCTAGATGATCTTGAAGGTCCTTTCCAACCCAAACCAGGCTGTGACTCTATGATACCCAGGGACACTCACTTCCCAAGGAAGCTGCAGAACTCCTCTGAGGCATTACTCATGCTAAGATAAGCTAACAGAAAATGGAACAGAAGCATCAGAAGAGAGGCTTTCAGGGACTTTCCACCAGCAAGGTCAGAAAAACAAGCTTGACTGCAGTAGCAAAACAAGCATTTACCCACATTTTATCCCATTTCAGATAGCATCACCTTAGTGATTAATAAGCCAGCCATGATCTGATCGAGTTTTCCTCCTACAATGAGCTCATGTTTGTGTAGGCATGTGGCCCAAGACCTTCTCTGGAACTTCCCTAAATTTCAGTTTTCTTTCTTATCTGGCTTATTAACAATCTTGAAGTGAGAACTTAACCCCCTGAATATAAAGCCCTGCTTTTTCCTCACACTTGCTAGCAATAGGCACACATTTCTGTACAGATATGAAGTCCACTCCCTTGTTTCTATTTCATTACTCAATCATCACCCTGTATGTCTAAGTCTACTTCTTTCCATTCACAAGTAATCATGGATTTCTCTGGAATTCTGATTCTCCAGCTCATGGCTGGAGATCTAAGACTGATCTATAACCATATGCAACCACCAGGTCATGATATCCCTTCATATCCCTTGTTTCTGAGACTGTTATTCAGGTCATCTGTACAAACACAGACAATATTAACCTCTTTGTTCCACCCACTGCTTCATTTGCAATTCCTAGAAAATATTTCAGGCCAACTCCAGCAATTACATGTATCACCTACAGCTTCCAACAGATGGAGTAAGAGTTACCATGCCAAAACTGCTTGCTCTGCTCAAATATTTCTCATACTTGAAGATAAGCACCTCAGCAAGTAATTTATACAGGTGAGTTTATGGACAGAATCCATTTGGTAACACAAAAATTGCCATCAAGCCACCACAATGATGTGCACTGTTTAGGTAACTGCCTCATCCATGAAAAAGCAGCATTTTTTGGTCTTTAGACATGACTGCAAAGCGTGTACAGAGGAGAATTTCAAGCCATCTCTTTAGAAAACATCCCCAGAAGATCTGCAATAGGTACAACCCTCAAGGCCACAAAGGTACTTGTCAGCTTTGTAAGTGCAGACAAGTCTAGCTTAGTCCTGACAAATCCCTCCTTCTCCCTGCCTGGAAAGGCTTGTTTGTAACCTCAGGTCAGACTGATGGTGCAGCCACCAGCTGCCCAACAAACCTGGGCTCTAACTTCCCACATTTCCAAAGCCTGAAATCCTCCAACAAACCTGGGCTCTAACTTCTCACATTTCCAATGTCATTGAAATCCTCCAATTCACTGACAGGAACACTTGCCTAGAAAGCAAAGGGCCTTCCTCCTCTCAGCTGCCTCTACAGGAGCACTGGTTCATGTCAGAACCAGGACAGGAACTTGCCACCCTTAAGACCAAAGTGTCAGTTTGGTTAGACTTGATGATCTTCAAGGTCTTTTCCAACCTAAACAACTCCATGATTCTAAGTTCACCAACAGAACTCAGACACCCAAGTCAGGCAGTAGCTCAGTTACACAACTTGAATTGCTGCCCTTATCTCCACAACACCCTCAGGATTACCTGAAGCCTTCACAGGAAGCACTATAAACACAGGCTGGAGCAGAGCACACTGGAAGATAAAGGCAGCCTTGCCTGGAGCTCTCCAAAGCTTATCAAGGGCTTGGTAAACTCTGGCAAATCAATTAATCTTACCCTGTGGTGTGAGTCCACTTAACACCACGTCTAATTTTTATTCTCCATCAGGAATGTGCTGACAGTAAGGACTTGCCCTCATATATTTTTTCCCATATTTTTAAAGCATGTCACTTGGATTTTGTAGGGAACTGCTTTAGTGACTAACATGAGAGCTTTCCCCACAGCAAGGGAGCTCTTTGAAAGGCCCAGCAGCTCCTTCCTCTCTCACTGCAGCTTAACAAAACAGACCTGAGCACCCTGAAATGATCCCTCTCAAAAACCTGCAGCAGCTTCAGTCTCCAGTTAGGCCACAGTCCAGTTACAATACCAAAGCACACAAGATGTCACAGTCTAGTACTTCACACCCTGAAAAGTAGGAGATAACACCCCAGACCTTCAAGAACTGCAGTGTCATCATCCCCTATAAAAAATACCCAAACCAGAACCCCCAACAATGATTATTTTCCTAGTGTGAGCAGTTTGTTGTTCTGCTTAAGTATGGCAGCAGTTTTGAGTGCTTAACTTACACCAGTTTCAAAGGAGTTTGGCTCAGGCATCCCTAGCAAGTGCTTTAGGGACTGGAAGAATAAATTTTTCCCAGCTTTCCAGACACTGGCCCAGGTTGCCCAGGGAAGCTGTGGCTGCCCCATCCCTGGCAGTGCTCAAGGGCAGGTTGGATGGGACTTGGAGCAAACTGGTCTGGTGGGAGGTGTCCCTGCCCATGAAGGGGGGTTGGATCTAAATGCCTTCCAAGGTTCTTTCCAACCAAAGCATTTCATCATTCTATGAACTGCTGGTGACAAAACACAACTGGGGAGAGAGGGTGAGGAGAATCCCAGAAGACAAGCTGTGCCAAGTGCCTGACAACCCTATCTGTGAAGAAATTTTCCCTACTATCCAGCCTAAACCTCCCTGGTACAACTTGAGGCTGTTTACTCTCATCCTATCACTTGTTACTTGTGAGAAGAGACCTGCCCTTCCCTCTCCACAACCTCCTTTCAGCTGCACAAGAAATGAAAACTCAGCCCAACATCACAGGCTGAGGTCTCCAAATGTCCATGAACTCTGGACTGAAGCAACAGCCCAGGGACCCTGGGCTCAGATGTATAAGCTCCAGCCTACATGGAACACAGTGGCAACCAAGCCTGTTGCTTGTATCAATTTTGAGACTTACAGCAACTCTGCTCTGCCCTGGTGAGGCTACATCTGGAGCACTGGCTCCAGTTCTGGGCTTCCCAGTTCAGGAAGGATAAGGAGCTACTGGGAGAGTCCAGCACAGGCCACAAAGATGCTGAGGGGACTGGAGCATCTGCCCTGGGAGGAAAGGCTGGGAGAGCTGGGGCTGTTCAGCCTGGAGAGGAGGAGGCTGAGGGGGGATCTCATCTGTGCTGATCAGTATCTCCAGGGGGTGTCAGGAGGATGGGGCCAGGCCCTTCTCAGCAGTGCCCAGGGACAGGACAAGGGGCAATGGGCACAAGCTGGAGCACAGGAGGGTCAAGCTAAACATAAGGAAAAACTTCTTCACTGTGAGAGTGACAGAGCCCTGGGCCAGGCTGCCCAGAGAGGCTGTGGAGTCTCCATCCCTGGAGATATTCCAAACCCATCTGAATGTGTTCCTGTGGGATCTACTGGAGGTGATCCTGCTCTGGCAGGGGATTGGACTGGATGATCTTCAGAGGTCTCTTCCAACCCCCACCACCACCCTGTGACTCTGTAACTCAGAGTGTTCCTGTTACCCAACCAGAGTTTTTACACTCGTTGCCAGATCCTTCTACAAACAACCCCACACGCTCCTCTCAGCTGATCTGGAAAGCAGGATGGGGGGATTGCTGCAGGGCCACGCAGCAGATCCCGGGGACAGGAGCAGCTGATGTGAGCAGTGTGTGAATGCTGAGGGAATAAAAAGCTGCATTAGAAAAGCTTTGAGAACAATGGCTGGAAAGCTCCCCAGGCCCCCCTGCAGACACAATGAACGGGAGCCAAGACTGCACCTCATCAAAACGAGACGCGCCGGCGCTGCGGTGGGCAGTCTGCTAATCCCCAGCCAGGGGTGCCAGCTCTGGAATACTGCTGACCCACACAGCCTGCTGGCTTTCACCCACTGCAGCACAGCCTCCTAACAAAGCCTGCACGGAACAGAGGCCTCCAAACAACTCCGAGCACCTGGTGTGTCTCTCAAGGTATCTGGTAATGCTGATGGCGTGCAGGGAAAAGAGCAAGAGTAAGAGGATGGGGGAGGGAAGGGCAAACCCAGGCAGAACAACATAGAGTTCCAGGCTAGTTTGGGTTGGAAGGGACCTTCAGGATCATCTAGATTCAACCTCCTGCATGGGCAGGGACACTTCCCACCAGCCCAGGTTGCTCCAAGCCCCATCCAACCTGCCCTTCAACACTGCCAGGGATGGGGCAGCCACAGCTTCCCTGGGCAACCTGGGCCAGGCTCTCACCACCCTCACACTCCACAATTCCCTCCTCATGTCTCACCTCAATCTCCCCTCTTCCAGTTTTAATCCCTTCCCCCTTGTCCTCTCCCTCCCTGCCCTTGTCCCAAGTCCCTCCCCAGCTTTCCTGGAGCCCCTTCAGGCACTGGAAGGTGCTCTAAGGTCTCCCTGGAGCCTTCTCTTCTCCAGGCTGAACACCCCAACTCTCCCAGCCTGGCTCCAGAGCAGAGCTGCTCCAGCAACTTTGTGGCCTCTTCTGAACTCTCTCCAGGAGCTCCATGTCTTTCCTATGTTGAGGACTCCAGAACTAGACACTCCAGGTGGGGCCTGGAGTACTCTTGAAAGCTACCAGGAGAAGCATCCACTGCCTTCCAGGGCACAAGTGTGACACACTAGAGCCAGACATGACCTGAGAGCTGCAATCCCCAACTGGATTTGCTTCCAGGGCCTGATCCAGTCCTCTGCCAAGCAGCCACAGAAACCCAGACCTGCCCAGCTCCTTCAGAGGGCAACTTCCAGCTCCTCTGCCCTGCCCATGTATGTGTGAAGCTTGGTAAAGGAGAACAGCACATGGCTCCAGGTCAAGTTGGCAGCTGATGCTGGCCAGAAAAGTGCCTCCCTCCAAAGATAAACAGTACTTCCCAGGCTTTTTTTTGTTTGTTTGGAAAAAAAACCCTTTCATCTATAGCCCACAAGCAAACGTAAAGTCTCCAGCAAGCTGGTTGCCTGCCTGCTGAGATCCCTGTGGGAGCTTTTTCTGCCAGCCCTGGCACGAACGAGCCCAGTGCCAACGCGGCACAGAAGCCATTGTTGGGAAACCTGTGCTGGTATTTGTTGTTTATTGATTCCTGGCATTCAACTATTGCAAAGGGGAAACTTTGTCCCTGACTTGGCACGCTAGGGGGCATGAAGAGGTCAACTAAACCCTGTGTGACTTCAATTCTGGATGACACCCCAGCTCCTTCCTGCCTGGATGCCTGTGCTGACCATCTCCAGGATCAGTTCCGTCCCCCTCCTGAGATTCACACATCAATTCCCTCCTCTCCAAACACACATTTGGGAAGGTAAGAGTTGACTTTTCTACTTCATTTATCCTAAACCAAATCCAAACTAACAATAACCTGCTTCTAAGCACTTTGCTCAACTTGTTTCAAGGCCTGTAAAAGAAAATCTGACCTGCTGTGGTGCTTATGTGAAACTGTTGGTGGGTTGGTTTGAAGCACTCACTGCTCCCCTCTGACCCACCAGGTCCTGGCAAAACAGCTTTTAAGAGAGGTTAATCCTCCTCCACACTCCATCCAGCCAGAGGAAAGGCAAGCAGAAGTTCTTCTACATGTTTAGGTGGCTGGTGTTGAAGTCTGAAGGAGTTTCTTCTAAAAACAACCAAAGCAACACACCCAAACAACGAGGGAATTAAAGAAAAGAATAATAAATCAACCTTAAGGAAATGATAAATCTTCCTCAAATGATTAATCTTCCTTCACAGCTCTCTTCCTACAGCAAGGACTACAGTGTTTAGGGCTGGGTAGAAGGAAAACACTCCAAACCAGGCAGGCTTCAGATGGTTAGGTCACCTCCACATTGTTCTGGCCTTCCTCCTCCCACCAACCCTGTTGGGCAATCATTTAGAAAAAGAGATGTGAACATAAAAAGGGTTACAAGCCTTCCAGAAAATAATACAGCTGTTTGTGGGGGAGGAAGACTTCAAGAGGCCCAAGAACTTCCCCACAGTCTTTCATCTCCCTGTGTATTTAATTGGCCTTGCCCACCTTGGCTCTGTTGCTTTGCTAAACATGAAAGCAAGGGCAAAAAAAAAAATGAAGTCATGGAAACAGATTGGATGGATGCTGATGGTTCAGGAATTAAGTCATGGAAATACAGTGGGTACATAGTGATGCATGAAGACCTGGAGAGGAGCAAAGCCCAAGGGGCTTGGAGAATTAAAAAAAGAACAATACCCAAGCTTGGCACAGCCTGAAGATTTTAGGTCCAGAAATAAAAATCAGGGATGACTGACTTTTGAGGTGTGCTGCTGATTGTATTTTTACATCATCCTCATTAGAGACTGTGAATTTGTCTTTTCAACAAGACAGCAAAGAGCATTTGTGATGACTTGTAGGGTGATGTTGGAACAGGTTCAGGCTCTCCAGGCCTTAAATAGAAAAGTTTTCTAAGATTGCCATTTGTTTTCAGTTCCTTCTAGAGGGGAAAATGGAGGCTAGCAATTGGGCAACTCTCAAATAGGAGAGAGCAGAAATGAGGAAAATATTGTCACAGGCAGTATTCAGCTCTACATTTCCCAACATTTGGTGCTGGTGAAGCAAAATAATAGACAGGGTGGGACAGGGAAGAGCTCCACTAATTAACAAATATAACTGTGAAAGAACTAATTGATTTTTAGGTTAACAGGCATTAGCTGTACTTCTCAGAAATGTTGTGGATAAAGGAAACACAAGGACATTGCTCTCTGCATACAGATCTTTCCCTGGTGTCTCCTAAATTCCTGTACTCACCATCCCTCGGATCCTCAATCCAACCTCTAAGCTCGTGCTGGCAGTGAAAGGGGTAAGAGATCAGAGCAGGATGTTGGGTGGGGAGAGAACATGGAAGGGATTTTTCTTCTTAAACCTTGTCATGTCTGTCCTAAAACTAAATGAAGTAACACACCCTGACAGTAAAGGCTGGAATTTCTCAGCAACAGGAAAGTGGATTTGCAGTTCACATCCCAATCCTTTCTAGAAGTAGGTAACAACACCCTATTTCTGTCCTGAGTGAGCAAAAGAACAGCTTCTGTGACTACCCTGTTGAGAGGAGACACACAGAACACTCAGAAAGACTAATTTTCATTTAATGGACTTCAAGAGATTAAAACCATCATCCAGATAAGGTTTAGTGTGGGAACTTGTTGAATTCCCACAGCACCACCCTCGAAAATGGGACTGAAATTGATAAATAAAACCATCCCCATCCTTATCCCCTACCTGAAGGGGATGCAAGTGAAACCAGCCTGAGTCCACCAGATGAAGACATTTCTGTAAGGTAGCTGGAAGAACCGGAATGGATCTTAATTAACAAAACAAACAAGCCCTCATAATAAACACAAAGCCCACGAGTGGCAGACCAGGTCACACAGCCCACTTCACCTGACAATTCCTACCCAAGAAGCCCATTTTATACCTCTGTATTAAGGGCATTTTGGGCACATATATGAACATACCTTGATAATCCACTCAATGAAACTGTATGAACATTTCAGTGGAGTTCTGGATGAGATTGCACCACCACCTAACCATAAAATACTTAGTGCCTGACAGCTAGAAGATCTACACTTCCAATACTTTAAGGCACAGCTTGTGAAGTCTTTCTCCTCACCATTCATCTCCTTCTGGAGCAGCTCTGCTCTGGAGCCAGGCTGGGAGAGTTGGGGTGTTCAGCCTGGAGAAGAGAAGGCTCCTGGGAGACCTTAGAGCACCTTCCAGTGCCTGAAGGGGCTCCAGGAAAGCTGGGGAGGGACTTGGGACAAGGGCAGGGAGGGAGAAGATAAGGGGGAAGGGATGAAAACTGGAAGAGGGAGATTGAGGTGAGACATGAGGAGGGAATTGTGGAGTGTGAGGGTGGTGAGAGCCTGGCCCAGGTTGCCCAGGGAAGCTGTGGCTGCCCCATCCCTGGCAGTGTTGAAGGGCAGGTTGGATGGGGCTTGGAGCAACCTGGGCTGGTGGGAGGTGTCCCTGCCCATGCAGAGGGTTGGATGTAGATGATCTTTAAGGTCCCTTCCAACCCAAACCAGTCTATGATTCTCCAGACCTTCACGTGACAATACAAGTATAAAGACACACCAAAAAAAGTTTCCAGCACCACTTGAAATGTTCTGCTGAAGAAGGGGAGAAGCTGCAGTGGTAACTGAGGTGGGAAAGCTGCAGGACAACAAGGATACTCACAGGAATTGTGCCTCCGCCGGAAGCCCTTGGATTGAGTCAAGGTCTCCACGTGTCTATCCATGTAGCTCTTGGAGCACTGCTGCTGTGGAGAGATGATGATGTCCTGATTCTTCATGTCTGTCCTCCTTGGGATGTTCTGTGGGGCACTGCTGGAGATGGGCTTCTTCAACACCTTCCCAGTGCCATTCTGACTGGGACCCACTTGGCAGCCAACCCCAGGGATGCCCATTTCCATCTGTTGCAGGTCCCCACATTGTCTGCTGTCCCCTGGCCCTGGGATCTCCAGAATTTTCAGCTCAGTAATGTCACCTGCCCTAAAAACAGGACAAGAAAACCAGACATGCAGGATTTTAGCATTTGAGGCACCTCTGGGAATAAACACCACCTGAAGAAAAAACACTCAGCATGTCACAGTGTGGTTTTTCTGGTGTCATTTTCAATAGAAAGAGGAAAAGAAATTATTTTAACACTCCCAACACAGAGGATATTTATTGGGACACCAAAATATCCAACTGAAATGGCATGAATGCCTAAAATAGAATCATAGAATGGTTTGGTTGGAAGGGACTTTCAAGATCATCCAGATCCAACTCCCTGCATGGGCAGGGACACCTCCCACCAGCCCAGGCTGCTCCAAGCCCCATCCAACCTGCCCTTCAACACTGCCAGGGATGGGGCAGCCACAGCTTCCCTGGGCAACCTGGGCCAGGCTCTCACCACCCTCACACACAATTCCCTCCAACACTTCTGTGCTGCACCTGGATTTGGTTTGGAAGGTTCTGTTCCTGGCTGCAACAGGGCTCAGTCAAGCAGAAAATGGAAGGAATCAGGACACATCTCACAGATTAATTGTACAGTTTCCAGTTAATGGAATTAATCTCAGCCTTGAGGCTGGTTATTATTTTTAATCCATTTCTGTGGAAAGCTGCTTTTAGATCAGAGCAATTCACACTCAGACAAGGATGGTGCTTCCTGTTTCCTCAGAAAAAAAGGATAAAAGGAAACTAATAAAGCACTGGGTGGGAGCCAAAAGGGAACAAAGAAGTGGTTACAGGGCCCTCCCTTTGCACTGATTGCAAGAACCAACTCAGAAATCAGGGGCTCCTGTTTTCAACTTAGTAAGTGGTTGTCCAACTGGGATGTCCTAAGATGGGAACTTCCACACATCCCCTGGAAGAACATGGTCATCTTTCCCCACTCTTCAACATCCAAAAAAGAAGACTTCAAGGAATCAATCTGATTTAAAAATCAGTGGCACACACCCCCAGACACACCCCCACACCAAACCAACCTCCAGGCATGAGCTATTTCTAACACTAGGATCACAGAGCCTGAAAACAATTCTCTTAAGACAACCAGGTGAGGCTCAGCAGCAGATTTAAGACCATGAGTTCATTTCTGAGGAAAACCAAACCCAAACATCAAAACCACTGCAGGTTTTGCCTGAAAAAAAAACAACAAAGAAAGGCACTAACCTGAAGGTGACTTCTGGCACCAGGCACTTGACCCCATTGTGGAAGGGACGTGTCAGGGAAATGGTCTGGCTGACCTGGTCCACAGCAGACACTCTGCCTTGGTAGACTCCCAAGCTTTCCCCACAGTTGATGGACACAATGCTCCCAAGCCAATCTGTAGCCATATTCCCAGCACACAGGGGCTGTGAGGAGACCCAGGCCTGGCTGGAACAAGGTGCAGAAGACAACCTGAATCAGCATGAGCTGCATCTCCCCCCAAGCAGAACTCTGTTTCTCACCCAGCTCCTCTCTACTGGTGTGGGGTGGAAATCCCATCTCTGCAGACACCCAGGATCATGGTGAGTGTGCAAATACCTGGATGGGCTCATGTGGGTTCAGTAAAGAAATCACTTCCTCACAGAATTGAAGACTATTTAATAGCAACATTGAGTATTTAGTGTTTCTGTGGACACTGACCCTGTCCTTTCAAACAGGGACATGATCCTCACATCCCTTTTGAAAGTTCTGGCATAAGGACACTGGGGCAGAGCAGCTTTTGGGAATACTCAGGAGTAGGAAGATTAATTTCTGCACAAAGGAGACCCTGGCCCAGGTTGCCCAGGGAAGCTGTGGCTGCCCCACCCCTGGCAGTGTTGAAGGGCAGGTTGGATGGGGCTTGGAGCAGCCTGGGCTGGTGGGAGGTGTCCCTGCCATGCAGGGGGTTGGATCTGGATGATCTTGAAGGCCCCTTCCAACCCAAACCATTCCCTGATTCCATGAATACCTCTAAGGGAGCAGTTACAAAGGAAGAGAAAATAACCCTACAGATAGAGAGGGGAAAGCAGAAACCAACACAGGATAAAAGCCTCTGTGCCCTCCAGAGCAAGGAGCACTAACACCTCCTGCCACAACTAGATACAAAAATAAAGGAAGCTGCATTCCTTCCCAGCATCAAGTTCTGTGGGAATAGAGGGGATGGAAATGCACTTTGTTTAGTTAGGATGTTCAGCCCCACAAAATTCCTGCAGTTTTGATGCTTGACTGAACTTGTATCAGCAGAGGTGGAAGCAGCTGGGCACATCTTTTGATCCAAGCTCTCTTCCTCCACATGAGGAAGACAGGGAGGTGACACTGGCAGCAGGAAGGAGCTGACAAGCTCATCAATGAGAATTAATCCTGCAAAGATCTGCCTTTTACACTGCAACCAACAGCCAGAGGGAGAAGCTTGATATTTACTGTAGGGAACACAAAAAGCAAGCTCAGGGGATAACCCAGGAGGATGAACATCAGTTCTGCAAGAGTCATTTTCATTCTCTTCAAGCCCTTGCTGCCCTGAGCTTCTCAATAAAAGAGGGGGGAAAAAATATCCCTTTGGAAATAACTGGGATGTGTGAATGCTCCCAGAAAAAACTCAATGCCCAACTTTCAAGAGACTGAAAACAGGGGATGTTTCAAAGGGAAGAATCTGGTCCCTGAGCTGTGTTCTTCAGGAACAGGCTCCTGACTTTCCCGCCTCTGTGTATTTGCATTAATCTCTGATAACAGTGTCTGGGTTCCCAGATGATGGCTGATAAGATCCCAGCCAGACCATCCCCAGCATCCACAGCCAAAACTCACATTTTGTTCCCTTTCTGCCTCCTTATGAAGACAAGGGAAGCAGCTGGGTACACACCACCAGCTTACAAGGATCCTTCTCAAAAGCAAGAGCCTCCTTTCACCAAGAAAACATAAACAGAATCCCAGACTGGTTTGGGTTGGAAGGGACCTTCAAGATCATCCAGTCCCACCCCCTGCATGGGCAGGGACACCTCCCACCAGCCCAGGTTGCTCCAAGCCCCATCCAACCTGCCCTTCAACACTGCCAGGGATGGGGCAGCCACAGCTTCCCTGGGCAACCTGAGCCAGGCTCTCACCACCCTCATGGTGAAGAATTTCACAAACTAAACAGAAAGAAACTCATCTGAAAGGACCTCACTCTGTTGCTTTGCATGCAAACCCTTCAGAAGTGGGAATGAACTGAACCCACAGAGCATTAATCCCTGTGTCACCTGTGACAAACGCCAGGCCATTTGTTTATTGACACCCAAACCTCCTGCCTAACATCCTGCCTTCTGCTCCGGGTTCATCACACAACCCATCTCTTATTTCAAACGTGTCCTCCTGACATCCCTGACACTCCTGCAAGTTTGAGGAGGCAGTCCAGGCCCGCAGCTTGCTCAAACACGGATCAACAGAGCCTGTAAGTCAACATTTAGCAAGTGATGAGCCAACAGCTTTATCACCTGCTGGAGGAAACAAGATGCTGCCATGCCAGGGTTCTCCCTGCTCGACAGACAAGCCCGCAGGGAGATGTTCCACGGGTTTAGGGACACACTGACCCTACCCACCCTGCACCTGCGGGACGGCTGGACGCGGGATGCCCGTTCCCAGCAGGACCCAGCCCCTCCGGCCTAATTCCCACAGGACAACACACAGCCCAGCCCAGCCCGGCCTAGCCTGGCCTGGCCCGGCCTC